CAATAACATCAATAATTATAACAATAATACTAACGACCGCAATAACGTCGAGCATTTAAAATAGCTGGAACTGAAATCAGCAGAAAACAGTTGAAAAAAAGGGAAGAAAAGGCGTGAAGTTCAACGAAAAAAGTGAAACGAACAAGAATATTGCTGAAAATGATGCGCATGTGTTCAACGTGATGCAAGCAATCGCGACTGAACACGTAGTCGAAATGATTCGACGGAAATTTGTAATTGAGTGCATCACAAATTTGGTATCGAATGCGAGTGTCTTTATCTTCTTGTAAACGATCCATTCCAGTCGCCAGCATATTTGCGCTTATATCAATTCCGTGTACCAACAAGCCAAATTCCTTCAAGTAAGCAACATTTCACTTGCCAATTAAAAGCAATCGCACGCAGTCACTTACTTTCGCTGCTTGACGTGCACCACCTCCGATACCCACACCGATATCCAACATTTTCGAACCAACTTTAAGTTCACCGAATCTTTTCAGTACTTTTAAATTCTCTTCATAGCCACCTACAATAAATAACTTCTATATAATCAACTCAAGTAACCAGTCAAGCAGTTCATTGCCTCTTCAATGTCCAATCATTCAATTCAATTAAATCTTACCGGGGCTGATGAAATGATTACCAAACACCCATTCATACGCACGAATACCTTCATCTGTATATTGTGTTGTATCCAAAAAGTCACGAAAAGTTTTCTTTTCAGTTTTCGCTTTTTCTTCATTACTACCATTTGCCACATGCTCTGAATGTTGCTTCTTTTTGAGAACCCACAAAAAGTCGAAGAAATTTCGCGTTGTCTGAAACTATTGAGAGATATGAATAAAATCATCAAAAGCAACAAAACCGTGCTGTCTAGTTTGATTTCAAATATTATCACCACATTACAAAACATATTATAATATGAACTAACAAACGAACAATAACTAACGTGAATTGTTGCGTTCAGTTGTTTCAAGGAGTAGAAATCGAAACCAGCAACATCACAGGTACTATCATCAAGCCGGTCACTGAATAAATCAAAGAAACTTGTGAACTGACACACTTTTTCGGTTGCTCGATAACCATCTGTAATTGAAACGTTATTAATGCTCCTAATAATCAAAAGAATAACAGTAAAACACTCATTACTGCTGACAAAAATATTCTAAAACTTGTGTGCGTTTTATGATAATGGAGACAAAACCAACGAACATACCAAGATCTTCACGAATAATCGCCACGCCGTCATTTTTTAACACTTTCAAAATCGATTTAGCCAACGAATCTAGTTCAGATGGTTTATCAATTAACTGAAATTTACTTAAAATAATGAGATAAGAAAAACAGCAATAAAACTTTCAGTGGTGATAATAATAATATAAAGTAAATGAATAATAATAGTAGAAATAATAACCATAATAATGATCTATGTAAAAAGTAATACTGATTACCTACATGATCTTCAATAATCAGTTTACTGATTATGACTGCATCAAAAACATTCATTCCTCTTGAAGCACTCTCACACAGACCTTTCAAACCGTTCTCAATAAGTGTACAATTCGCTTTTTTTTCTTCCAATAATTCCATCAACGTGCTGCTAAAATACACAACTCATTCAGAAAATAACGACTGATGACATTCTGAATAAAACTGAACAGTTATAAT